GAGTCCTCTTCTCCCTTCCTGTACATGTGGGGGATGTGGGGGCGTGCGTAAGGGAGAGACAAACCACAAAGCTTTGCAATACCCCATAAAACCCTCTCTAAAACCCAAGCAGGTTTCAGACCAAAGAAATAATCATTAATATTTCCCTTCCAACACATTTACAGCGTATGCCACGGACGTGAGCGCTCACGGTGAATGCAGCAGGTCATTAAGAGGACTGGAGCCAATTAGACCAAATTAAAACACAATAAAGACATGACTGCACGTATTTTCGAAATGGTCATAAAATACATAACATAAGCTTGTAAAAAAAAAAAAAAAAACACCTTTGAAACCTAGACACTACTCAGAAGAAAAACGTAAATATGTGGTAAGTGGTTTTGTTAACCATAAAGAAAACCTTTCCCAAAGGAATCTGAACAGCAAAAATATCGCCCAAGAAAAAGGGGACCCGGGCCTTTGATTAGTGTTAACTTGCTTTGCTTCATTTTCAAATTAGTTTTAAATATTTAAATAATTATAAAGATTTAAAGGGATGACAAACAGTGCTGCTTAAAGAAATACCTATCCAGAGTTTTTCCAGCTCTGTATTTTTTTCCCAGGAGGTGTCACACAGTGATGCTGCTCAGCTCAGATAAAGAGTAGAAAAAACATCCCTCCTGGAAAACCTTCATAACATTTGTGAGTTTATATTCTAGTAATGACTGTGTCCCCTTGGGCTTATCAGCAACCTCTTTTCCACTGAAATTTGATCAAATTTAGTCTCATTCTGCTGTGGGAGAAGATCAAGGATCCTGACCAGCTGGGAGTTAGTAGCCAAGTTGGTCTCCTCTGAGCAATCCTGTCTTGTCCACATATTGTTCACTTTTAGTATTCTCCCTTTCCAATTCCCAAACATATTTTCCAATTCCCAAATTTACCTGTCCCCAGAATAAAGGGGGAGGTATCAAAATGAACAGCCATCAGAACCACACAAAAGAAAGCAACTCTCCAACTCATTACTAAACTCTCCAGTTTAGTATCATTTGAAACAAAACTCAGGTATTACTTTATAAAACGAGGCTATAAAAGCAAGTAAACAAACAAAGCTCTTTGTGAAATCCTGGAAATTTGAATAATATCCTTGAACATTGTGCCCCATCTTTCCAACTGGTCAGTTTGGCGGTACTGTAGAGTTTTGGAGTTCCATTTCTGCACAACCAACCTTTTAATTGCAGCTCCGCGACCAATCCCCAAGAAAACAAGGAGAGATTTAAAAATCAGCCTCACTTTAAAATAATACCCTGTAAATATTCATCTTTCAAATACTGGAAATTATGTCCTGTGTAACAGAAGCACACTTTTTAATCTCCACTTTCTAATCTCCACTTTTTAATCTGATTAAACAAATTTGAAAGCTGATTCCTCCTACTGTGTTTAATACTAGCACTCCTCCTAACTACTTATTTCCCAGCAGGAACTGTCTCTGAGAGCACATTCACATTATTACTCCAGGCTGATCTACACAGTGACTCTGGACCAGGAGACTTGCTATATATGGTGTTTACTCAGGGACAGGGCTGCAAGCACTAAAAATATCAGGCAAACAGAAGAATTTATTCGAAATATTACGGATTTATTAAGAACATAAACCACTGCTTTAGAAAGTGCCCAGCACTTCCAGCAAGGCATCTCCACCTTTCAGATTTACTGAGAGTTGGTTCTATCCCATACTAGAGGCTGTAAGGTTTTATTTTCCTAGTTTAGGGGGTTTATTATCGATTTCTTTTTTTTTTTCTTTTTTTTCCCTGGAAAAGAAAGAAACTGTTCCTAGACTCGGCAACAATAGGGAAAAAAGTGAGTCGGGGGGGCCTTTCCTGCCAAGGTTGGGGTGCCACTTCCCTGTGCTGGTTTTCAGTTGGGTTTAAGGCTGTTAAAACACCAGGCAGGACGGGACTTTAATTCTCTAATGTGTTCTGACAGGGTCCTTTTTTATAGTGAAACCTTTGCAAGCAGATAACAAGCCTCAAGGTTGTTATGGTCCCCTCATTCCAGCCATAAACACAATTTACACCCAGACCATTTTCTGCCAGTGGAGCCAACTGAGACTATTAATCAAATGAGAAAGAAAACAAGCATTTGTGGAGCTTTAAAACAGATACTGTTCATCTGTTATTTAAAGCATGACAGTATCAGAGCACTGCTCAATGTTTGAGGATCAGTTGAACAATATTTAGAATGAACTGTTCTTTAAAAGGAACAACAATATGAAGTACAGAAGCTAAATAATTGATGGTGGGTCTGGGACAGCGTTTAAAGGAAACCATCTCAGAGCAAAGGCACTGCCTTTTCCAGCCCTCCTGAGCGCTGTGAAAACTTGGGTGTCTGCGAAGGTGTTTGCTGAAAAACAACAGGGGATGACATCAACCAAATTATGGATTCAGCAAATAACTCTGGTGGCATTTGGGGGGGGGGGGGCTTTGTGTAGGCTTTTGCAGCACGGGAGGCAGATGGTGATTACACCGACTGCTGCAAAACTGTACTGAATGTTACATTAACTGGTAATGAGAAAACTCAATTTCACTTCGTTTCTATTTTCCAACACAACTACTTTTTGGCATTAAAAAAAAAAAAGGGGAAAAAAAAAAAAGTGTGTATGTTGAAAAGTTCATAAAGCTGCATCTCCAGGCTGTAAACACGTTAATCTTGGTCTGTTCCCATTACTGGGATAAAGAGCTGAGAAAAAGTATTTCACAAACTGATCTGTGACTCCAACGCACCAGGAACAAATCACAGAAAGTCAGCCCGTGCCCCAAATCTTTACGTTGCTCAGCCAGATACTACTTTTCAATCAGATATTATTTTTCAATTTTTCCACTGCGAAGACATTATTTGTCAGACCTGCTCTTATTTAACCTAAGTAAATACAGCAAAGTATTCCATAAAAATACAATAGATCAGAGAGGAGATTGCCGGAGTGGGTTTTATTTACAAACTACCAACTTCCTAGCAAAGCACACCTTCCCTTGGGTGCCAAATTGACTTCCATTTCCCTCCAAGTTTTCCACAAAGCACAGCAATATGCTGCATGAACTTTGAATGGCTAAATCTGCTTTAATATGGAGGGGCTGAGCTGAAGCCCAAGCCCTGCATCCTGCAGCACACACAGGCTGCTCCATCCCAGAGCAGCTCTGCCGAATCCAGCGAGCTGTTTCCAAGCAAAGCACTTCAAGAACTTGAGATGGGGAAGATCCCAGGGGCAGGAAACAGAACTGTAGCGTTTGCATTAACAGTAGAAATCCCCAACAATTCATCAAATGAAATGCATTTCCTATTTGCCATAACTGTTTATCCAAGTACGGTCACAAGAAGAGCAGATACAATAGAATAAACAGTTTACTACTCCAAAGTGTTAATGAATTATTGTAGTTGGTCTCCTGTACACACAGAGAGAGAAATGAAAAGCAAACTCCCTGTGCAAGCTGGAAGTTACCAGTCAACCATAACCCTCACAACATTCCCTGAAGGACAGAAAATTTTCCTACAGCCTTCCAGCAGGAGCAAACCTAAGCAATCCCTTGAGCTGCTATAAAATCTAAAGGGAGGTCACACCTCAGACATTACCTTTCCTCTTTCTAAACACACGTCAGGTGCTTTGTTATCTTGTATTTCCCCCACTAAAATACACGGGAGGAATTATGCACCTGTGGACGAGCAGCTTTTCTTCCCCTCCCAACATATTATTTTGTTAAAGAGGAAGAATTAAATATCAAAAATTCCCCTGTAGAGCAAATTGCAATGTGCTATTCAACAACCCTGTCCCTTTTATGGGGATCTGGTGAAGATTTGGGCCATACACAAACCCAACCTAACACTGAATCTTCCTCCTCAATTCCCCTGACCTTTTATCAAAGTAACCTTTCATAAATAACCATTAACATGTGGTAAAACTCCACATAAAATAAACCACTGTTTTCCTGCACACAGGAATTCCCACTGTCAAGGAAAAAACTGGAAGCTTCTCATCATCACAGGAGGTGTCAAAAAATGTCAAAAAAAAATGTCAAGAATCTCTGGAACAGAGTTTTCTTGTGGCATTATGAGCCACAGAAACCTAAAGGGAACCCAATAGTGCAGCGAGCTTTTGGTTTCCCATCACAATTCAGAGAGACCTGAGTATTCTTTGAATGAGCCCTAATCCTGCTGCAACCTGCATAAAAAAGAAAAAAAAAAAAGCTTGAATTCTAGATACAACTAGATTTTATATATATATATAATATATATAAAATATGTATTAACTAATTGTTGTTTGCAATGGTTTCTTGGTGCTTATCTCTTCATATCTTAATACACTATTCTGTAAGATCCTAAATTGCTAAGATTTCCCACCTTTCATTCTCGCTGGCTGACCAATGTGCTGTCAACATGTGAGTGCTTTCCAAGGCAAGCTCAGCATCCACACAACACGGTCAAACTGCTCGAAAGGGGATGGGAATCCTGACAATTCCACTCCGAAAGCGCAGAAACATTCCAGCACGGAGCTGCACTCTGCTGAAAGCTCGAGTGTGGCAGATGCCTTTGCACTAATTGCCAATCAGATGCCACGCAGCAGCTGAAAACACAGCGCATCACTTTGATCTCCCGGGCTCTCAAAGTATTCCCAATCAAGGAATCTGCACACGAGGAGTACGAAATACGCAGCATTTTCAAAAGCTTTCTCCACGGAGCTTCAATATGATAATGTATATTTTGTTCATACTCCGCAGAGCATTTCCAATCCTTTATTATGTATATGAAAGGCCGTGTTTTAGCTTGCCAAAAAAACAACAATAAAAAAAAAAAAGGCAAAAAACCAAAAACCAACATATAAACATGAAAGAAGTGCTTTATGTTTCAGAGACCCGGAGGTTTCCACCGGAAAACGCAGGTGAAACAATCGCTTGGAAAGGCCTGGATCGCTTCGAGGGGGAAAGAACATCATTACAGAACACGCTTAATTAAGCCCCCAGTCAAATGAATACCTCGTTGAATTAGACCAGAGGGAGATGGAGGCTCCAGCAGCAGCACGTGCTGAGAAGGAACGCTGTGAGGAAAGGGTGACTTACATTTGGCAGGCAGGTCGTAGCCACCGGTGATTTTGGCCTGTCCAGTCTCGCACCCGCTCAGGTTCCGACACTCAGCAACCAAGCAGGGCCCAGCAGCTCTGTGTATGCAGCCATCCACTGGGAAAAAGAAAGCAAAAAACAAACACAAAAACGCTCAGTCAGGAACCCCCAGTTCTTATGTTTCAATCAAAGATATCATCACAAACATTTACTGCCCGTTTTTATGTTCCACGGACCCACCGATCTGCAGGTCGGCATCCAAATATACGTCATTTTCTTTTTCAGTCCAGGTGCTTTTCAAAAACATAATAGATAGTCAACTTGTGCTAACTGCAAAGAAAACATCCAGGAAAGGTAAAGGAGAATGAAGATTTCAGTGGTAGAAAAGGAGTTTATTCCAGGCTCGAAGAAATTCTCATGACAAACTATGAAATCACAAACATTTACTGCTCATTTTTACACTCACAGACCCACCAACCTTTAAGTCAACATCCCAATATATATACATATACACACAAATATATCTTATTTTTTTCAGCCAATATTAGTCCATGTGTTTTTCAAAAATATAATATTTAGTCAATTGGTGTTAACTGGCAGGAAAACATCTAGAGAAGGTAAAGCAGAATAAAAATGTCAGTGTTAGAAAAGGAGTCTATTCAAGGTCCGAAGATATTCTCGCTACAAATTAGGAAAACAAGTGTGATCCCCACCTAAATGCCAAATTCTCTTTTACTGCACACCTCTGATACCTCCACAGTTGTGCAAATCATTTAATGTCACTGCCTCACTAATGCCTTACACAAAAATTCCAGGAAATTATGATTATAGGTTCGAAATATATTAAAAAAAAAAACACCTAATGTTGACCTTTTTTCCTTTTTACACTTTTTTTCTTTTAATTTTGCATTATTCATGCAACACTTTGGAGTTAATTAAAAAATAATTACTAAAGGTTGCAATTGCAGCTAAGTATGCAAGAAAATTAGTAGAGTGCATAGATCTTATTACCCTCAGGAGCCAGCAAAAGAATCAACCAAGGCTGCTGGCACAGCAATTCTGCCCTCTCAACATGCAATCCAAGAAATCATTTACTGTAATTATAGCAAAAAAAAAAAAAAAAAAAAAAAAAAAAAAAAAAAAAAAAAAAAAAAAAAAAAAAAAAAAAAAAAGTTTGAGAAACAGGATACAAAATAATAAGGGGAATTGTTTATGCATGAAGGTATTAACTACAGCAGGGCCCTAATTCAGCAGCAACGACGGAGTTCAACTGGGAGAAATAATCATCATATAAATTACAATATCCACCCTAAAAGGTTGAGCTCGGGTGTAAAGGCTGAACAAATACTCGTGGAGAAGGGAAAGATTCTGGATTCACAGCTCTCAATGTTTATTTTAGATCTTCCTTCAGGTTTTACCAGGTCAAAGTCAAAGCAGTAGCCGAGAGCCCGCTGGAAGCATTTACACCAGAACAGGGTCCAAAAGCCAGGTGTGGATGGGTTTTTCCAGAGATGCACAGCATGAACTGTAGATCTGGGCTCAGATTTGGGCAATCCAAGGCCTCAGCATCCCTACTGAGCTCTCACTGCCCACCAGGACACGGGGAGAGTAGGAAAAGCCCTCACTGCAGGAAGGTTTTTGAAGCTGCAGTGGGAACGAGGACCGGCCTTCCTGTATTAAGGGCACAACTGGCTTAGTAAGGTGTAGAGTATTTCCTGAAGCCACACATCTCGAGGGGAGAGGCAGAAAACATCTTCAAATGGATGAAACCTTCTTCTCCTGAGTGTTCAAAACCTGCCTGCCTTTTCTAAGGAGTTCTGTGCCAGAGCTCACGTTCAGGTGGCACAAACAGGATGAGCAGCTCCTCCTCATCCCGGCCATGGTGCTGCTGATTTTCAGACTGTCATTCTGAAATACTTTATATCAGACAGAAAGACAATCAAGGATCATGTGATGCATTTTCAGTGGAGTTTTCTGAAACTTCCTCACTGAAGGTCCAAGGCTCCAGCTGTGAGCACGTTGTGCACTCTCCCTCTTCCTACTCTACCTTACCTGAACTTGGTTTTTAACTCGCCCAAAATCTCAGCTCAACAGCCTCCAAGATGCTAATGCAGGAGTAATATTTTGTAACCTCGAGGGGAAAAAAAGAGTGTTTGAAATCCCTCCTGTGCTCACAACATCCGATTTAATTATTCTCACTTAATTACTAAACGCTTTCCCAACCCGAGTGCACTGAAACCAGCCTCAAGTGTAATTTTATAAGCACCACCATCACCACCACAGCCTTTACCAGCATTAGTGTTTCCTGAGACACAGACATCAAAACAGCATTTTCTGCACAGTTCTTTGCAGGGGAAAGAAGCCTTTCACCTCAGGAGTAAGTCTTTCCTTTCCTGGACAAAGGAAACCATGATCAAGTCGGTCTGTGTGGTCTATCAGTAGTTTCCTGGAGCTGGATGCACACAGGTCTGTGTGCATCCAAGAAGGATGAAAGACTAATTGAAGGGAAAAAAAAATAAAAAATTGAATTCCTAACAGGAAAATCAATTCCATCACAACCAATCCTGACACACGACAAGGAAAAGGGGAGACATCTGCCAAACCTGAACAAGAGGATGTGCAGACTTCCCTTACAAAGGTGGCCACAACATGAAGTGGTTGAATAATCCAGACAGGCATGGATGGAAAAGCAGAAATTAGCATTTGATGCACTTCAGTGACTGACACAGAAGAACGAAGGAGGGGGGAGAAAACCACCAAAGAGAAAACCCAAACACCAAACCACCCCAAGTTTTTCAAAACAACCTCTTTTTTCCATACTTTATTAAATACGTGAACAGAGATGACCTCTGGTCTACGTTTCTCATTTCATATGATAATTCAACAAATCCTGCTAGAAATACTCTATGCTTCCAATAATATAATCTAATATATATTC